ACCATCACCATCATCATCATCATCATCATCATCCACCATCACCATCATCATCATCATCATCATCATCATCACCACCATCACTATCACCATCACATCACCATCACATCATCATCACCATCACCATCACCATCACCATCACCACCATCATCATCACCACTACCACCACCACCATCATTACCAACTCATCCATGCCATCCGCCTGCTCCCTCTACCCCTCCAGTACCCCCTCCTCTAGTCAGCTTCCTGGCCAGTGCTCCCACAATGCTCCTCATGCTCCTTCCCTTCCCGTCCCGATGTCCTTCACAATTGCTCAATATGAATACTACTCTCCCTCTTCCCCCGATAGGCGGCCTGAAAGTAGCCGACCCCCCCCGCGTACTGTTTTTTTACACACAGGATTCCCGGGAGTTGGGTTTTCGCCTGCGTTTTTTTTCAAAATGCTGCTCTCGCTGAGGCGCCGGCCTCATTTCTGCTCCCGAATCGTTCCGAATCGTGCTCCCGCTGCAGCGTGGGCCTCATTTTCGGATCGGTGTTTGGCCTCCGTCGTTCAGGATGGCGTTCTCGCCCCAGCGCGGGCCTCTTTCTCGCGCGCCCATCCGCCCGCCACCACCGCGCCGCACCACCACCACCACCACCACCACCAGCACCACCACCACCACCACAACCACCACCAGCACCACCACAACCACCACCACCACCACCACCACCACCACCACCACCAACACCACCACAACCACGCACACACGCACGCACGCACGCACGCGCACCACCACCCAATACGCACGCGCGCGCGGAGCCACAGGTCCGCTACGACACGCGTCCGCCGCGGATAGAGAAAATCAGCGCCATGGTAAGGGATGGGAGGGAGGGGTAGGACGTCAGATATGACGCGAGCGCACCTAGCTTGCCCCTCCCCCTCCCTCCCGCCCCCCTCCTCCCCCTCCCTTCTCCTTCTTCGCTCCTCCTCCCTCTTCTCCTCAACCTCCTCCTCCTCTCTCCTGCTCCTCTCTCCTCCTCTGGGCCTGCCTCTTCGGAGGCAGGCCACCGTCCTAGTCCGAGTCCCTCCTCTCCTCCTCCTAATCCACCTCTTCCTCCTCCTTTTTCTACTCCTCTTCATGGTCTTCTACCTCCTCAATCCCTTCTCCTCCTCCGCCTCCTCTTCCTCCTCCGCCTCCTCCTCCTCCGTCTTCTCCTCCTCCTCCTCCTGCTCCTCCTTCTCCTCCTCCTGCTCCTCCTACGCCCCACCCATCAGTTTCATTATAAGCATCTCCGCGCTGCCTCACCCCCAGGCGTGTCGGTACGGCGGGCCGGGCGTTTCGCTTGAGTCTTCTGCGCCACTCATCATCCGTATGCTTGGTATTGCCAACAGCTCAGGGATTCACGGCCTGTTTTCAACATGCGGTTTTGTCTGTAGCGTCGGGAACACTGGCCTTATATGCTTGGAAGGGTTTCGAGGATGGAGTGCGGCCCGTTGTCAACATGTGGTTCTCGCCTTGTAGTCGCGCATGTTGGTTTTGAAAGTTTGCAGCAGTTGCAAGGATGGAGGGCGATGCGCTTTCACTGTGTAGCTCGAAGTAGCGCCGCGCATACTCGTCTTAAGTTCGGATCAATCGAAAGGATGACGGGTGGCCCGTCTTCAAAATGTGGATCTCGCGCAAGCGCCGCGCGCCTTCGTCTCACAACCTTGCAACTGTTTCAAGAATGGGGGGGCTCCTTTTTAAACTGCGGCTCTCGCGTTGGCGCTGCCCACGTTGGTTAATATGTTTGAAGTTGTGTCACGAATTCGTATATCGGAATTCCCCATAATGATGTTCTGGCACGGCTTCGGATTGTCACGATGCAACAATCACGCTGGTTCGCGGTGTTGACGTTCCAGGAACGGCGTTTTCGTACGGGTTCGGATTTATAGGGTGCTACATGCTACAGTCATGCTGATTTGCGGCGTTGAAGTCCCAGAAATTGTGTTCTGAGAGGACCCTGAGGATTCTCAGACGATTGTCTTCCAATGGGGTGCTTCCCGCAATGAAAACATGATTGTAAAAACGTGTGGGGAAGACATCCCGGAGGGACGGTTTATTGCAACGTTGTTAATGCGTCTTAGGTTTGCACCGTATCTCCTCCTCCTCCTCATCATCATCATCAGCGACCTCCTCCTTCGCTATTCCTCCTCTTCCTCCTCGTTCCACCCGCTCCCGACCGCGCCTGCATAAGAATTCTCCTCCTCCTCCTCCTCCTCCTCCTCCTCCTCCTCCTCCTCCTCCTCCTCCTCCTCCTCCTCCTCCCCTTCTCCCCTCCTCCTCGTGCCCCTCCTGCTCCTCCCCCCCCTACTCCGCCTCCTCCTCCTCCTCCTCCTCCTCCTCCTCCTCCTCTCCCCCCTCCTCCTGCTCCTACTTCTCCTCCTCCTGCTCCTGCTTCCAGTCCTGCCCGTCTGCCCTCCTCCTGCTCTTCCTGCTGCTGCCTCTCCTCTTCCTCCTCGGCTGCTCCTGGTCCCTGCTCCTCGTCCCTCCTCCTGCTCCTCCTCCTCCCGCTGGGGAGGGGGAAGGCACCTCCCACGGTCGGGGGGGGGGGGCCCAAACGGTGTGCTGCCCACACCGCGCGGTGAGTCAGCCGGGATACGAGGCCACCGCACGGTTTCGGGACGCGCGGTGAGGCCCCTCGGGATTGCGAGCTCACCACACGGTATTGGGACCCCCTACTGACACGGGCTCCTTCTCCTCCTGCTCCTCCTCCTCCTCCTCCTGCTCCTCCTCCTCCTCCCCCTTCCTCCTCTTCTTCTTCCTCCTCCTCCTCCGCCTCTCATCCCTCGTCTTCCTCATCCCCCTCCTCCTCCTTCCCCTCCTCCTCCTCCTTCTCCTCCTCCTCCTCCTCCTCCTCCTCCTCCTCCCCCCCCTCCCCCTCCTCCCCCCCCTCCTTCTCCAGCAGCTCCTCCTCCGCCTCCTCTTGTTCCTCCTGCTCCTCCTCCTCCTCCTCCTCCTCCTCCTCCTCCTCCTCCTCGAGGGGCACCTTCGCCCTGCCCCAGCATCCCACCCTGCCCGCAGCCGCAGTTCCAACGTGGCTCGCGGTCGGCACCCACCTCCTCGTGCCCCTCGAGGATCCAGGTTACTTGGCATCGCTCGGACGTGTGCATTCTTCTTTCGGCGAGGACCATCGAGGAGCATCATTGATCATTTGGCGAAACAAGCACGCACGAAACCGGAAAAAAGCACAGGGAATGGACGTCCGAGCGATGGCCAGGTGATGGTTTATGGATTCTTGAAATCGGTTCGGCCCACTCTGGGCCTCCATGGGGGGGCCGGGAACATCATGAGGCCTTTGGGGACTCTGTGGGTGGCTTCGGGGACCTCCGGATTCCTTCCCCGACCTCCTCAAGGTTCTCCTCTGCTCTCTTTGCCCCCATCCTCGTCCTCGTCGTCCTCCTCCTAATCCTCCCTCCTCCTCCTCCTCCTCCTCCTCATTCGCTCGTCCGTTCGTTTATTAATTTGTTCTCCTCTGCCCTCGTCGTCATCGTCGTTGTCCTAGTTATCTATTTCGTTTGTTCATTCGTCCGTATTATCTTAGTATCAGAGGTATTCTTAGTATACAATTAGTGCCAGTCGTATTACTATCAGTGTTATTGTCACTCTTGTTTTTAATCTTTTCCCATTATTATTCATCATTGTCTAGTATTCTGAATCATCGATATATTCGTAGCCACATTGCTGAATTACTATATATTATTACTATATAGTATTATCATTGTGATCCTCCTCCTCCTCACGCCTCCTCCTCCTCCCACTTCTTCGCCTCCCTCCTCCATCCTCCCTCCTCCCCCTCCTCCATCCTCCCTCCTCCCTCCTCCTCCATCCTCCCTCTTCCCTCCTCTCTCGTGGTGGGCGCCGAGGGCCCCCCCTATTTCTCCTGTTCGATTTTGTGCCTCGCGGGGCGCCCTTCGCCCGCGGGGCGGTGGCGGGAGGTGGCCCCCGCGCGCGCGCGCGGGGCGGCGGCCGTTGGAGGCCTCCCGAGCGGTCGCGGGTGCCGCCGCGAGCGCTCGGGGGGGGGAGGAGGGGGGGAGGAGGAGGGGGGGGAAGAGGAGGAGGAGGAGGAGGAGGACGAGGAGGAGGAGGAGGAGGAGGAGGAGGAGGAGGAGGAGGAGGAGGAGGAGGGGGAGGGGAGGGAAGGAGGAGGAGACGCAAGCCGAACGAACTCCGCCGAGGAAACGAGGGAACCACGGAGGAAAGTAGGAAAGCGGGGCAACCCATCAGCGGCGCTGGGTGCCCCCGATTAGGGGAAGCCTTCTGCGCGGACGGCACCCGGCCCTTCGATCATCGAGGGCTGTGGCTCTCACTTGACTTTCCTCCCAAGTGACCTGTCCATAACACTTGGCAAGCAAAACAGGGGATTGGCGGGGCGCTGGTTTCAGCATGCCAAACCGGAGCCGCCAGGGGTGTTTTCACGGGCCTGTTCGCGGCCAGTTTGTTGGGATGTCTTAGGCGGTTTGCTTGTTCTCATGCCCAACATCCTTCGCTTTCATATCAGATTCTGAGGATGTCTCAGGCGGGGCGCTGGTTTCAGTACCCCTAAGGTGTTTTCACGGGCCCGTTCGCGGCCAGTTTGTGGGGATGTCTCCAGCGGTTTGCTTGTTGTCATGCCCAACATCCTTTGTTTTCAGAGCAGATTGTGAGGATGTCTCAGGCGGGGCGCTGGTTTCAGCGCCCCTAAGGGGAGCCGCCAAGGGTGTTTTCATGGGCCCGTTCGCTGCCAGTTTGTGGGGATGTCTCAGGCGGTTTGCTCGTTGTCATGCCCAACATCCTTTTGTTTTCAGAGCAGATTCTGAAGATGTCTCAGGCGGGGCGCTGGTTTGAGCACCCCTAACAGGAACCGCCAGGGGGTAGGACACGGGCCCGTTCGCTGCCAGTTTGTGGGGATGTCTCAGGCGGTTTGCTCGTTTTCATGCCCAACATCCTTGGCTTTCAGATCAGATTTTGACGATGTCAGGCGGGGCGCTGGTTTCAGCATCCCTAAGGAGAGCCGCCACGGGGTAGGACACGGGCCCGTTCGCGGCTTTTGTTTTGCGGGGATGTCTCAGGCGGTTTGCTCGTTGTCATGCTGCGAGGAAGGAAATGGGGCGTGTTGCTCCCTTGGGTCGTGCTCCGGCACGTACCCTCTTGGGACGCACGGAGGAAGGAGTCGAGGCGTGCTGGTCCCTTGGGTTGTGCTCTGGCACGTACCCTCTGGGACGCACGGAGGATGGAGTCGAGGCGTGGTGGTCCCTTGGGTCGTGTTCCCGCACGTACCCTCTGGGACGCACGGAGGAAGGAGTCGAGGCGTGCTGGTCCCTTGGGTCGTGCTCCCGCATGTACCCGCTGGGAACGCAAACCGCTTGCAGGTTCAACTGGAGACATCCCGTCGTCGCTCCATGCCCTCCCATGCGGCATGGAATCGTAGATTGTCGACGCTCATGAACAGACGCCCGCTATGGCATGACATAAAACATGAGATGCACATATGGGGAGCTCCACGCAGTGAGTAATTGTTTTTTTTGTTTGTTCTCTCTCTCTCTCTCTCTCTCGCCCCATCCTCGCCCTCTTGTCCTCCTTCCCATCGGAACGGACACGTTCTTACAGTAAACTCGAATCGCAATGGCTGTCTGACAACCGCGGAGCGGATCAGAATTAGATCTGCAGTGCCAAAAGCAAAATCTATGTGGCGCGAACTAGGCGGTGCAATCTACGTGGTCCAATCCACGTGGTGCAATATACGCTGGAATTCTAGGTGGTGCAATACGGCGACGTGGTGGCGACGGCGACAAGAAGGCGGCGGACCCGGCACTGCGGCCCAGACGACGCGCGGCGACGAGGTGGCGACGTGGCGGCGACGGCGGCAGCCAGGCGGCGAAACCAGCACTACGGCCCAGACGACGGGCGGCGACGACGACAACTCGGTGGCGGACCCGGCCATGCTGCCCAGACGACGGGCGGCGACGAGGCGGCGACGAAGCGGCGACGGCGACAACAGGGCGGCGGACTTGGACCTGCGGCCCAGACGACGGACGACGACGTGGCGGCGACGGCGACAACAGTATTGCGGACCTGGCAATGGAGTTCAGTTGCATAGAACGAATTTGAGAAGCCCAAAGGGCAGGCGTTGTGTGGGAAAGATGGTGAGGAGGTGAACAGGGGGTGGATAAAAGGGGGGAGGATTAGGATAATGGGCCGGATGCTATGGGGAAAGCGGCTCTGATGATGATGACGATGGGGAGGAAGAGGATGAGGATAAGAAAGTATGTGGCCAGTGATGCGATGATCCTGTTGAGGATGCAGATGGTGGTGATGATGGTGCTGACGAGGTCGTGGTGACTGTGGCGTGGTGGTAATGGTAAGGACGACGGTGAGTGGTGATGAGGAGGAATTGGATAGGAACACAGGGCCAAGGAGCAGCAGGCGGCGGGGGCGGGAGAAGGAAGCAGGCGCAGGAGGAGAAGGAAGCAGGCGCAGGAGGAGGAGGAGGAGGAGGAGGAGGAGGAGGAGGAGGAGGGGCACGGAGGATGCGCAGCAGGCGGAGTCGGCGGCGAGGAAGGCGGAGGAGAAGGAGGGGGGCAGCAGCCCGACCAACTGGAGCCAGGGGGAGAGGGGGGGAAGACGACGACCACCATCATGACGACGACGACGACGACGACGACGATCAGAACGGAGGAGAGACGCGGAGATGATCACGCGCGCGGCGGGCGAAGATCGAGGCTGCCTGCGTGCGCCTGTAGTGCCAAGAGTGCCAGTCGACGCCCGCATTCCTGCGGAGCCCCACAGGGGATCTCGAGATAGGCCCGGGAGCACCCGCGGACCGGGGGCGGGGACCAGAGGCGAGGGGCAGGGGAGGCAGGGGAGGGACGGCTCGAGGGAGGGGAGGAAGCGGTGCATGATGAGCTGGCAGGCGAAAGGGCCCCGCATCCCTCCCTCGGCTCCCCCTCCCCCTCATCTCCCTTCTCCTCCTCCTCCTCCTCCTTCTCCTCCCCCCCTCCTCCTCCTCCTCCTCCTCCCCCTCCTCCTCCTTCTCCTCCCCCCCTCCTCCTTTTCCTCTTCCTCACCCTCCTCTCCTCATCGTCCTCTCACCCCCCTCCCTCCATTCCCCTTCCGCATCAATCCCCCCCCGTATGATCCCCCCCCACCGTATCATTCCCCCCACCATATCACCCCCCTCCTTCTCCTCTCCTCATCCTTCTTTTCTCCCCCTCCGTATCACTCGCCCCCATTCCTCCTGCTCCTCCTGCTCCTCCTTCTCCGCCCTTCTTCTGATTGTTCTTATTATGCTTTCTTGTTATTATCATTACTCCTCCTCCTCCTCCTCCTCCTCTCCTCCTCCTCCTCCTCCTCCTCCTCCTCCTCCTCCTCCTCCTCCTCCTCCTCCTCACCTTTCCCCATCCCAACCTTCCTCATCACTGGCCCACCCTCCTCCTCCTCCTCCTCCTCCTCCTCCTCCTCCTCCTTCTGCTCCTCCTCCTCCTCCTCCTCCTCCTGCTCCTCCCTCCTCCTCTCGTCCTCCCTCTCTTCATTATCATCTTTACCCTCGTCCCGCCTCTCTCCTTTATCCGCTGTCCTCCTCCCCCCCCGTCTCCTATCATTCCTCACGTAATCCCTCCTATCGCCCGTCTGCTCGTCCTCGTCCTCCTCCCGCCCCTGCTCCTAGTGTTCCTTCTTATCTTCCTCCTCCTCCTCCTCCTCCTCCATTTCCTCCCCCCTCGGCCCAGGATCATGCTTGTCATAGTGGCTATCAAGTGCATCCTAGAAACATACTCCTCCGCCTTCCCTCCTCCTCCTCCTCCTCCTCCTCCTCCTCCTTCTGCTCCCTCCCTTCTCCTCCTCCTCCTCCTCCTCCTCTCCCTCCTTCTCCCTCTTCCTCTCCGCTTCCTCCTCCCCCCCTCCTCCCCCTCCTCCTCCTCCTCCTCCTCCTCCTCCTCCTCCTCCTCCACCTCCCCTTCCTTTCCACCATACCTTCCCGGTCCCCTATGTAGTGTTTGCACTTGGGGATTCTTGCTTGACGCCTAAGGAACTGGGCCTGCGTGGCGGTCTGGCAGTTCCGTGGTCGCCGTCGCCGCCCCGTCGCCGCCTCGTCGCGGCCCGTCGTCTGGGCCTGCGTGGCGGTCTGGCGGCTCCGCGGTCGCCGTCGCCGCCCGTTGCTTGGGCCTGCGTGGCGGTCTGGCGGTTCCGTGGTCGCCGTCGCCGCCCCGTCACCGCCTCGTCGCCGCCCGTCGTTCGGGCCCAGCTGGCGGTCTGACGGCTAAACTGTCGCAGAGAATGCGCAGTTTAGATTGCACAGCACATATTGCACAGCATAGATTGCACTACGTACGTTGCACCACATTGATTGCACCCCCTTGCGTCGCATAGTGCACATCCAGTGCACCATACATATGGCGCACGATAGACTGTACATCATATATTCTCCTTTCTAAAGGAATACTAGAACCTACCCCCTCGGAATGATCGATCCCCCTTTTCGTTTCACACTGTACGTAAGATTCTGCCCCATTGTCCATCCTACATTTGAATTCATACTGTCCCAGGCAGGCCGACGTCGCCCCCCCTCATCCTCTGCAAAAGCCTATGCGTGTGCACCAGTGCATAAACATTCATTGCAACACATGGGACGACGTGAGCACGCGCGCGTCGTCGCGTGCGCATGCCAAATTTCTTCAAACGCCGTTGGTTTCACGAGGATTTCAAATTTGACTGTCCCGCAAGCATATAGCAACACAGAGCCTCGCAAGAGGACGTATCAGCAAAAAGCTTACGCCCTCGCTCTTGCGAGTTCTTCAGAAAACCATAGGGTCTGCAACATACTTCATAACATGCTACCAAACGGGCGTCTCGCGCGCGCGTGTCGAAATCGTTCGAACGCCCCTGGACGCGTGTTGTCGCAATAATCCTTGGCAATTG